AATTCCCATTCACTTGCTCAAATGCTACAATAACTAACCTAGGTTCTTATATAGAACTAGAAACTAGAAACAAGATCAGGCAAATCAAATGAAAGAGGAAAAATGGAACAAATCCTAACCTAGGGAACCTAGCTAGAAATGCGTACTCCTATTGTGTATCAACATGAATGTATAGAACCTACAACTGCTAAGAAACATTGTTATTATACTAAAATTTGTAGAAGAATCAATTACAGGAAAAGAAGCAAAATTCTATGAATTAAAACAAAGTCCAAAATTAAAACTGAATCTATTTTACAACTTGAAGCTCAACATGTCTCAAAATCTGTTTATGTAAAGTATTTATAAGTGAAGTAATTTCAAAAGTTGAGCTACTAGTACACGTAAACATAACCATCCACATAGACACTGCTGGCACCTTCTTATTTCTTCCATGCTATACAAGCTTTGGATAAACCACTAACTAGATATTGGTACACTATACGAGCCCAACAATAAATACCCAATTCACTTAATCTATCAACAATTTCAAACAAAATAGGGAATATTGTTCTGCTACGATTAGGAACCAAGAATTCAGAAATTCCAACCAAAATGTACAAGCTACAAAAATGTGCTAAAGGCAACTTCTTGTGTTTTTTCAAAAGAAAATCATATATCAACTGCAAATTTTACTTTCCATCACCAAAGTACTTACGACAATGACTCTTTGTAAGTTGTTTTTCATTTAATTTAATATTTTGACAAACTAAACTCAACCCTAAGCTCAAACAAACATCTATGGCCTTCAATTCCACTACTCTTTAACCAAAACGAAAACAACCACTCTCATCAACCCATCTAATCAATAATTCGTTCAGAAAATCCCTACTAATTTTAACATTTTCTTTGAGTTCTAAAACCCATCTAAATGGGTATTTGAAATGATTGACTTGTGCTTCACACTCAATACTTTATTCAAAGTACCAACAAACTTGTTTTTCATTGAATGACGAACAAAACACTGCAGACAAATAAATATATACTTCTTGTTACGAAAAAACCAAAAAAAATTTACCATCAAATGCCAAAAGCAATAACCAAACCCAAAATAAGAATATCGGAACGCATTCAAGTTCTTACCTTGTTCGAAGAACCAATGTTAACGGAGGAATCCATTGCACACAAAGCACATATCTTGATTCCTCAACATAGATCGAGAATAACCCTAAAATGGAGAGAACAAGAGCACACTTTAATATCACAGATGAAGGAGGTTGAAGAACGTCCACGAAGATATGCACAAAGATGAGAGAGAAGGAGTAAAAATGAAAACCCTCAAATGAAGACGGTGCTTCACGTACAAGGGTACTTTTGGAATAAACACATTATAAAGCATAAAAAAAATTTCAAATCTTTTTTCTTTTCAGAAATTTTATTAAAATTAAACTAATAGAACGCTGACACCTGTCGTTGTCAAAACCTTGTCAACAAATCGTTGTCAAAACCTTGTCAACAAATCGTTGTCAACATATCGCGGTCCTTTTTCATTACAGAGTAACTGTAAGAATTTGTTTAAAAGATGAGTGGTATGCATGAAATATACTTTTTAATTATAAATAAGTTTCATATGAGTCTCACTTTGTGTTTAATAACTGTACTTACAATTTAATAAAATGAACATGTATCAATGAATTATAAAATATGTTTAAAAAAAGTGGCATAATAGAATTTTTCTTGTTGAAAAAGTTAAAAATTGATGAACTTTTGATTTTTTTTGTGTACTGTTTAAAGGTGCTATATGTCGCATGTTCACACGGGTAAACACGGAATCTCCATATAAAAATCAAAGAACGAAAACCCTAGCTTCTCCCCCTTCCATTTTCTCACCCTCGTAGATCTATTTCCTTTCTTTCTTTTCTCTTATCTTTACGTTTGGTGGATCCAAAGACGAGTATCACCCACTATCAAAGATTTAACACTTTGATGTTCATCCTCAATTCCAATGATGAAAAATAGAACTTCAAAGATAGCCAATAACAATAGGAGACTTTGCAGTAGGGCCACGTTAAGGATCAATTAATTTATTTATCAGCATAAGCATCACACACGCACACTATATATACATCAATCAGTTGCTAGAGTGGATCAAAGACATGGAGCGAAGATCACATTCCACTGAAAGAGAAGAGGAATATGATTTGTTCCCAATATACTCCGAAAGGTCACAGCAAGACATGACAGCCATGGTCTCTGCGCTCACACAAGTCATAGGTGGTTCCAACAATGATTCTCTTCACCCCCATGAAGACCTTTTTACTTCTTCCAACAACACCTCATCCCAGAATAATAATGAACAATCACAAGTGCCACAACAAGATCAAGGTAAGTATCTCACAAACACTCGTACCAGTTGCTATATATCTTTTCCATCATATTTTTAATTTATTGCGTTCAAATTGGATTTGATGGGTAGGGTTGATTTCTATGACTGAGATATTGTTTGTTTTTCGTCTTATATCCCTTTCTGGGTGCAAACTAAGACTGTTTGCCAGAGTCAAAGTGTTCACAAACGCAGCACCTAAAGTTTGATATATTTCATGTTCAAATTCCTGTGCTTACCGGTGCAACATTTATTAATACTTTTATCTTCCCTTGTGAGGCCACAACTTAAAGCATACGTACCGTACAGCTTCATGCACAGCTCTTCAAAAATTTTGTTACCATAACTGCACTCAGGTCTAGTGCAGTCCTTATTATAATTGGCTGCTTCTCACTTAGAAGTCATTGATTTAAAATTTGAAATTAAGGTTAGAGCTTCAAACTAAGGTTTAGGTAGACCCCTTTTATGTTTTTGAAATCTTGATTCTAATTTTTATATATGATTAATATATATACTAGTTTTTTACCCCCTAAAAGAAAGAAGAGGATCTAATATTGTGGACCCCAATTAAGGTGTGAACAAAGGTTTTGCTATTTAATAAATATACTAAAAGTTTCACATCGAGATAAAATAGAAATAATATGACATAATTAAAAAGAAATAAATAATAAATAGTATGTTAATAAAATATCTGGAACTATTTCGCTAAAAATTTGAGTTACCAAGTTTACGACAATTGTGAGAATGCAGGAGTCTCACTTAAAGTACAAATTGATGAATCAATTTAATCAGAGACAAAAACTTATAAAGGACTGTAGATATTAGTAGTGTTGTTATTCCATTAAAATTGAGTTTTAGTTTGATAATTTAAATCTCATGAAAAGCATTCTATCTTTTTATATTGGGAATTTTAAATATGATTGAAAAATTAATCATGTATTTAAAAAATGTTAATAAAAGTTAATATTATATATTAAAAGAGAATAAAAGCGATAGATTTATAAGATATATGATATTATAAAAGAAAACGAAAATAGAAAAAAAAATACAATATCAAGATGTATACCTTTAGTGGAATAATCATATATATCATGGTAATGATTGATGAGAGATAGTTTATGAGGGTAATTATGATGAAATGATAGTGAAAAAAAGATGCTATAGAAAGGTATGATATTAATAGTAAAATTGTGAAGGGAGTGGAAGAAGAAGACACTATAGAGGAGTGAGGCAGCGTCCATGGGGGAAATGGGCTGCAGAGATTCGTGATCCGAAGAAGGCAGCGAGGGTATGGCTTGGAACTTTCGAAACTGCAGAAGCTGCGGCTCTTGCTTACGATGAAGCTGCTCTCAGATTCAAAGGAAGCAAAGCAAAGCTCAATTTCCCTGAGAGGGTTCAAGGCACTGCCGAATTTGGTTACCTCACAAATCAGCACATCTCATCAACAACAGCTGCCGGTGGCCAAACTTCAAACCCTGTTACTCCACACTTCGCTCAAGAAACCTATTCACCAACTCACTATCACTATCCACAACAAATCATGGGTGCAGCTGGAACTAACTTCAATAACCAAGACACGCTCGGTTTCTATGGGGGAGACATGTTTGTTTCTTCTTCGTCTTCTTCCTCTTCCTCAGCTCTCTCTCAACAGCAACAACAGTTTCTGACATTTTCGACGCAGTTTGGAGGTTCTTCTTCTGACCCTCCTGTGAATTGGAGGGGTGATGGATATTGACGAGGATACCACATTGTTCATGTTCCTTCCACAACTCATGGTTTCTTTGTTTTTCCGCTATCATGGCTTTGCATGTTATCCATGCCATATTTTCATTATATTACTCATTAATGTTGTCCATAAGTTATTTTAATCAACCATATGTGTGCTGTCAATGAAATGTTTATTTAATTGAAAAAACTTGAGAAAGGCAAGGAGCACGAAATCTTAGCTTGAACTTTGACCTGTTTGAAGTATACGAGATTATATTAAACTATTGTAATATACCTTCACTGAATGATACTACTACTTGAAAATGCACGAACTAATGAATTAGTTCTTCATTAAATGCATCGGTGTCCGGAGAGATAAAGAAAATATTTTGAAGATGAAAATTAATTTGAATAATGTTAGCCTCATACACTTTTACATTCATATGAGGTGAGGGTACAAAAATAAAATGGTTATAAAAGTGTAAATTTTTGTAATTTTTCAAAAAATAAGAGAGTAAAAAAAGTAAAGAAAGATAGTGTGAAATGAATATAAAAAATTTAGATGTGTTAAAAGAATATTTTTCAATTAATTTAAATTGATTTTTAGAAAATTAGGTAACAAAATTTTCGTAAAAATTAAAGTGCATGGCTTTATTTAACTTATAAATAAATCCAATTCACTTTTTTGTTTCTAATGTTTATATATATATATATATATATATATATACACACCCAAAATTGTTAATATGAGTTTGAAAATTTTAAGATTCTAAAACTTTCTATGTTCTAAAACTTGATTTTAATCAATACATGGGTAATACATTGGTATCACAGTCTGTTTTCCTTGTAGAGGAGATGTGCATAAATGTCAGATCCCTTCTGCAGGGATTGCACACTTATCATGTAGGATTCAATTCATCGCCTTTCGTCCCTAACAAGTTGGGTCTGGAGATCCGGTTTCATCAGGGGACATCTGTAAATCCTCAACATTATAAAAAACACAAAAACATTCAAGTGAGAGAAAGCACAAAAAATGCTAAACAAACATCAGTAACAGTGGAATTGCTGTCACCTGGCGATTTCTTTCCTCAATGGAGCTGACATGTCTAATCTTCCACTCCCCTCTATTTGTGGTTAACTCATCTAATATTTCAGCATCAACTATTTCCACTGATCCAACTCTGGGTGATTCTACCTCCTGTTAAAAAAGCAAACAAGCTCCTTCGTATCCCACATCGGAGAGCAATTTAAAGAAGAATTAAGACGAAATGGTGATAACATATAAAGTATGGCATCGTACCCTGAAAGACCTATTGAAAGTTTGTCCTGGAGCAGCAATTATTTCTTCGTATTCAGCTGCATCCAGTTCCCTAAGATGTTGAGGCTTGAACAGCTTGGGGAGTATATGCTGCCTCAATGTTATCAGTAAAAAGAAAGGCAAGGGGAACAGTATTCCAGCTATGGGAATCCATGTCACTCCAAAGCAAACCAAGAAATACACACATTGGAAGACTGTGAACAATACTATGTATCTGTAAGGTACTGACTCGACATAGGAAGCATGATCCCCCTCCAACAACCTGCCAAGATTATATAAAGGTTGCTGTTAGAAATAGTATATATTGACAGTGGAAGTTTCATGCTTTAGTAAAATTGTTGAAACAATAGTAACTTCTACTTACTTGTGCCACCTACTGGGTGTTACAAAAAGGAGTAAGATCCTTTCCCAAAATTGATTTCCTGGAAGACTATCAATGGCCATGTACGCAAAATATCCCCACAGAACTGAAGTTGGTATCTTTTTTATGACAGGCATGCCAAAGACTGATGCTCCAACAAAGATTGATTGTAAGAGATTGCTCACTCTCTGCTCCTTTACTCTTACGGGCAAATATGCTTCAATGTGTTTTTCAGGATCAAACTTACTCTTTTTGTCATGTCCTTTATCTTCCCCGTTTAAGACAACCTCTTTCAAATCCTCTAGTTCTTTGTCCACTAAATGTTTCTGCAAGCAATCAAATTCACGATCAAAAGAAAACTTAGCTACGTATCAATTGTCATAATTGGACAAGGGCAAGAGGATTAACGACTTATATGTTTACATCTGAACACTTATCCATTTCTATAAATACTGCTTGCATCTTTCCATAAATTTCAGAATTGCTAGCTTTAAGATCTATGCTTTCCTTGGCACTTTTAACCATCTTTTTTNATATTGCCGTCGAAGAAAGTTTTTTAGAATTTATAAAGATAATGTAGAAACATGGATTTTAGAATTTTTTTTGTATGAAAAACGTTGTTTAATCTGCATGGAATATTTTTGTTGAGAAGAATAATGTAGAAACACTGCATTGGTCTGTTTGTTGTAATTTATTGTGATATGTGCGCGTGTGTGTGAAACCTTCTTTCTTGGAATTGGGTGGTTGCAAAAGCGGAAAGACAAAAGGTTAAACCGCCACCGCCACCCCTGAGCTTCACTTGGCACGTGTAACAAAAACCAAAGTGGAATTGTTAACACACGGTGCACACAACACACGCGTCTCTTCAACCAAAAGCTTCTAAACCTGTCATTCTCCATTTCTCATGCAAAACGATTCTTCTGAAAATTGGTTGCACAGAAAAAAAAAAAAAAAAGAGGTTGGAACATGTAGCACGCAACTTCTGAAGGAAGATTGAGATAAAAAAGCGATGTAGTTGAAAGATGAATGTGGTCAAATAAAAGTGGAGAATAAATTGTAATATAGCAGAGTGTATGAGTCGTTGAATTCGGCATAGAATACCAAAAGTCCAGATTGAACCAGTTTATCGACCTGCGAAAAAGACTTGGATTGTTATTTTCTGAAATCTCAATGTCTATGGCTCAGCTATGACTTTTGACTATTGAATTAGTCCTTTTCAACTTCACCTTCACTCTTTATTATGTAGGCATCATGGTCATAATAAAAACAATATAAAAAACTACTAAAATAAAAGAAATTATTTTAATTTTGTATTTCTCCAGCTAACATATATGTTAAAATCATCATTCAATTTCCTTATTAACTCAAAGTGATTAATAATATATTAATAATATATGGAGATATATTTGTTTGGTTAAATTGTGTATACTAACAAAATATATAAATAAACAAAATATATGATATACTAACCAAAAATATATATTTAAATATTTAATATCATAAACAAAATATATGATATTATCGATGGTTTAAAGACAAATTTTACCGACAAAAATAAATTTGTTTATAAAATTTGTCACTCAATTTCGTCAATAATTAAAATATTAGAATCAATCGATAAAATTCGTAAATAATTTGAATTTTTGGATTGAAATTATAAAGACAAGATTGTCTAACACATATCTGATTTTAAAGTTTAACAAATACAATTAAGCAAAATAGTTTTATGTAATCAAACATGTAAAAGTAAAAAAAAGCATAAATATAAGAACAAATTATAGTGATTATAAAATGTCTAAACACTAAAAGCCAGAAAAAAAATAACATGAGAGTACAAAGTCTAGATTTGAAGCATCTACACAACAAGTCTAATCAAGGTTATATCTAAAGTTACACATAATGTTAGACAATAGAAGAGAAGTTCACACATAAACCTAAAAACATATAATAAGCACAAGAAACATTCAAGTAAAAACGGAAAAAATACTAAGCGCAACAACCGTAATATCTGAAGAACCTAATATGCAAAATGTAAGAACACACTCTTAGCCTAGAGAACAACACATAGCTCTTGAGAACAACACAAAAAATTATATTACTAAACTAATCATTACACAATAAGATAGAAAGGTTGATAAGACAAAAATAAAAATCATCTAGAGTCCTCACATAACTAATAACACAAAGATCACAACCAAACTAGATCACCAAAGGATCACCGATGTAAAACCTATGGTGCTAAAGAAAAGGTGATGACTACATATTTATGCCCTCATTTAATCTTTAATATTGGATTCTTAAATGGTTTTTGTACTTTAATAGAATATTTTAATTAGGATTTGTTATAATTGGGTTTATTTAGCATTAGATACAAAAACATGTTAAAAATAACTTTTAAATTGCATAAATGTTTTTTGGATATTTTGACATGTGTAAGTGTAGCTGCAGCTTAAGTTGTGCTCATTGAGATGTGAAAATAAGTTGGTTAAGGTTTCATGACACCTTAAAGATAAATCCAAGAATAACAAATAATCAAGACCACCAAAAGTCAATCCAAGCATAACATGAAAAAATGAAGAAATTTGGCTAAGATAAGAGCAGGGAAGAGGCAATAAAATTTGTATCTTGCAATTTTCTCTATTTTTTCTATCAAAAGGGCTTTTTTGATGATAAATGTTTATGATTAAAGATAATTTGGGAAAAACATATCTTAAGAAATTTTATTTGATATATTATTAAATAATTACCTTATTTAACTATATCGATAAATATAAAAAGATAATATTTGCCAAATCTTTTTTAATCTAACAAATATCTTCTCAAATATTTTTAGATCTCCACAACAATCAAATATATTTTAAATATATTAGATTATTTAGAAGATAATTGGAGGAGATTAGATAATTATAAAGAAGATTACAACAACAGAAAAGTTTGAAACAAAGCCAAATTCAATTTCCATATAAAGAGACCTAGGGAAACACTTTAGGGGACCAGAGGAACCCTTAGGAGGTTCAAATTTCGTCCATCCTCTCTTCTATCATGTTCTCCACCCTCTCTTCTTATATTTTCATGTTATTTGAACATTCCATGGAGTGTCAAGCCTCTAGTGTTGATTCTACTATAATTTCTCAATTGGATTCTGAGATTAGATGAATAAATTTGTTTGTTCTTTTGATTCTTGTTGTGATTTATTTTTACCTATGTCTTTTGCTTCTTAATCAATTAAAAGTAATGATTTTTACACTATAGCGATTTAGCACGATGTCAAATCTACATAATATATCAATCATATGAGTCTAAGGATTTTTAATTTTAATTGAGAATCTACTTAGATTAAAGTTAGAAACGTTTATATGATTGAATGAGTTTTTGCCAATAATTGAGAATGTACTTTGATTAGTGGTAAACAATTTAACAAGAATTAATCAAGAATGTACTTTACTTAATTAGCTTTTTACATGATATAACAGGTAAAAGAATAGACGCGATTAGGCATAGTAATATTTAATTGAGAATGTACTTTGGTTAAATTTACTATGATTAATCTACAAAGTTCTTGTTTTTAATTGAAAGTGTACTTTGGTTAAGAGTGTGAATGCCAACAAATTAATTGAGAATTTACATTGATTGATTTGAAAATCTAGGATAGTAATTAATTGAACAATAATCTTTAAAATAAGATTCATCATTGGTTATCTAAATGTTATTGTTCAATTAATTATTATCTTAGATTTTCAAATTAATCAATGTAAATTCTCAATTAATTTGTTGGCGTTCTCACTCTTAAACAAAGTACATTCTATTAAAAGCAAGAACTTTGTTGATCAATCATAGTAAATTTAACCAAAGTACATTGTTAATTAAATATTACTATGCCTAATCACGTCTATTCTTTTACCTCTTATATCAAGTAAAAAGCTAATTAAGCAAAGTATATTTTTTTATTAATTCTTTTTAAAGTTTTTACCACTAATCAAAGTAAATTCTCAATTATTGGCAAAAACCCATTCAATCATATGAAAGTTTCTAGCTTAAATCAAAGTAAATTCTCAAATAAAATTAAAAACCCTTGGACTCATATGATTGATATGTTATATAGATTTGACACCATGCTAAATTGCTATAATGTAAAAATCATTAGTTTTACTTGATTAAGAAACAAAAGATATAGATAAAAATAAATCACAACAAGAATAAAAAGAACAAACAAATTTATTCATTAGTTTTACTTATGGCCTTCACCTACCGCTGGGCCCTGAAATAGAACCCAGCCCCCCTTCTGATCCATTCATTTCTGCAAGCAGGGGGGATCTTCGTTGCTGTCATTTCGAAATGTCTGCTTCAACCGTAGTTTCACCTCCCAAAAAGCAAAGTTGGCTTGACGAGCGCAGATGCAAGGAAGCGGGAGCAAGATAAGCGCTTTTGTTACTAAGAAGCTAGATTTACTAGGAGCAAGATAAGCGGGAGCAAGATTAGCGAAGCGCTGTAGTAGCGCCGGCCGAAGCCCTATGTGCTAAAATGCTGAGCCAAGGACGCTCCGCCTTATCTATAGAAGCAGTCAATCGAGTGCACAAACGGACGTCTTGTAGTGCACAAACGAACATCCAAGCCCAGCCCTACCACAAAACAATTCAGGAGGTGGTCGTCGCGAACGTCTGATGGGCACATGGGACGTCTACGTGGACGTCCGAGGTGTACACCGGACGTCTAGATAGGCGTCAGGCCTGACACATCGGACGTCTATATACACGTCCGATGTGGACCCCCGACGTCTGAGTAATGACACCCACAAAGACGTCGGGGGAAGGTCGGACGTCAAAACACGCATGATCCCTGATTGTCCATTATAAAAGGATGTACGTAGGACCAAGGTCAATTCTTGTCGGGTTCACAAAACAAAAAATATTTGTTTTGTCTCTTAATAGTTTTTTTATATTATTTTTTAGGGAAAATTAAACATTTAAAAAAAAAGAACCACGTCAACCTTTTTACATTTAATTAAAGGTACTGCCTTTGGGCAGGCGCGATAGGGTGCTAACACCTTCCTTACACGTAACTGATTCCCAAATCTAAAAATTTACTTTTCACAGACCATGTCTTATTTTTTTGGTTTTCCATAGTTTTTGCATAATAAATTATGGTGGTGACTCCACAAATTTATTTCTCAAACCCGTTTGTTTTTCGGCTCGCCGTCCCGTCGCGATCCCGGTTGCGACAGTTATCTTTTGATATTTATTTATATAGTTAAATAAGGTAATTATTTAACAATATCAAATAAAATATCTTAAGACATATTTTCACTAAATCATCTTTAATCATAAACATTTATCAATTATCAAAGCGGTTTTAGTAGAAAAAATAGAGAAAACCGCAAGATCCAATTTTTTTGCTTGTTCCCTCCTCTTGGCTTAGCCAAATCTCTTCACTTTTTCATGCTATGCTTGGATTGACTTCCTTGGTCTTGATTATTTTCTATTCTTGGATTTATCTTTAAGGTGCCATGACACTTTACCCAATTTATT